TACTGTCATCAATTTCAGACTGCAGCTACAGGAAGGCTGTAACAGGTTGCACTTGATAAAAGCGGTGTCTAAAACCTTATTTTATTTAAGGAGGCAGTTTATGTTTCTGATTAATTCCATATTTTTACCGCTTTGCTGGCCGTCCCTTAATCCCTGCACACACTCCTTATATAGTGTTCTTCCTATAAATAGGCCTCCAACTGCATCTCTGACTTTAGAGAACTCCTACCCTAACAAAAACGTACAATGGCAACTACAGTTTCAACCAAAATAGCAGTATAACCTGAATGATATTATTATCTAATAATTATTATATTATCTGTTTAATTTAAGTTCCTTTTTAACAGTGATGGCTAGTAAAAAGTTCTTTGTTGTCATTTCCATCATCTTACTGTCTTGCTGAGGCTAATTTTACAGTTAGCTTTTTTGTATCCTAATTACACACAATTGCAAAAAATATAATAATATAAAAACATAATTTTACATATTTAACATTTGATTACAGATTAAGGTACATCTTAGGGGCACTCCTAATTTTTGTACATATCAATATAAAGCATTTTTACACAATAGCCTAAATGGTGTACACTTAATTCACTCTATGTTTAGACTGTAGTTTGAAAATGACATGTAATTTATGTAATGTATTTTATTATACATTTTTGTATTTTAAAACTGAAAATCTATATAGATAAACGGCATTTGAAGATTAATAAATGATAGGTAAAACGTTTAAAAGACCATATTAATTTGATCTTTATATAACTAAAAATAAATCGTATGTAATTGTAATATGTTAGCTTTTCATCACCTGAAACATGAAATTGTATGAAGTCTGAACATCCTATTTCATGGAAATGTACTCGAGAGTAATGGGTTTAAAATAAATCAGCTGGCAACAGGAAACCCAGTCATATCTGACGGTACTTAAGCATTTGAGGTAATTGTATAGTCCATGAACTACATGTTTGAGCATACGTGTTCATCGCAAATAATTATATGACTATGTACAATGATATATATGACAGATGAATTCCAGCTAATCTTTAGTGAAGATACCGTACAAATCCCTATTCTTTTCATTACTTGACCATTTATAGTAACATAAAAAATTGATGCAAACAAAGCATTATGATCAATGCACATATATACTGACATTTTAAACGTTCAAATTTGACAAAAAATAAGAACCCAAAATTCTTACCAACAACCGGCGAAATGAAGTCAAGCTGTCAGATTGTTGTGTTTCCGGGTTCTTGGAGGCCCAAACGAGATTAACCCTAAAACGTCTGGTTATTTTCAGAAAACAATGAAATATCCCACTGCCCCTTTTTAAATGGATTATAAATACTATATACATGCCAATGTTCTGTTTAGCACCTACAGGATAATATTATTTTTCAAAAATTATGTTGCGCATGCGTAGTATGTACTTTCAGCATCCCGATGTCAAAATAAAAGTTAATCAGTCCGCGTTTTTTTTTTAATAGAGGGGTCATATGATGCTTTTTTAAAGATCATTATTTTGTGTATTTGGTGTAACAGAATATGTTGACATGCTTTAATGTTCAAAAAACACATTATTTTTCAAATACTGTACATTACTTGACCATTTAAACTTGAACGTTTAAAATGTCAGTATATATGTGCATTGATCATAATGCTTTGTTTGCATAATTTTTTTATGTTACTATAAATGGTCAAGTAATGGGGAAGTTGTGGCCTAATGGTTAGAGAGTCGAACTCGTAACCCAAAGGTTGTGGGTCGAGTCTCGTACCGGCAGGGATTGTAGGCGGGGGTAGTGAATGTGCAGCGCTCTCTCCACCTTCAATACCACGACTGAGGTGCCCTTGAGCAAGGCACCGAACCCCCAACTGCTCCCCAGGCGCCGCAGCATAAATGGCTGCCCACTGCTCCGGGTGTGTGGTCACGGTGTGTGTGTGTTCACTGCTGTGTGTGTGCACTTTGGATGGGTTAAATGCAGAGCACTAATTCCGAGTATGGGTCACCATACTTGGCCACATGTCACATCACTTTTTTTTTTTTAAAGAAGCTGTCTTTGATGTCATACTTCGATCGGTCTGCGCAGCGCAGCTTAAAGTCAAACATTGATAAAGAATATCTCTTTGGTTTTGAGACTTTAGTCTTTGCAACTTCAGGGATCTTATCTATGCACAATCAGCTTGTAACACTCCAAAGAGAAAGGAAAACTTTAAATCGCATCATATGACCCCTTTAACAGATTAGTCTTAATAAATAAAACCAAGTAAGAATTTTTAATTTATGAAAGAAACATGAAGGTCTTACTTTTTATTGTTGTATTACTTGTATTGGAATGGATGTCTTCCTAAACTAAAAGAAAAAGGATGAATACAATGTGATCTTGTTGTACCCAACCTTTATTGAAGCACTCAAACAAAACATTTACAGTTGTTTACACATCTGTGAAAAGTCACCCAAAACTCCCTAAAATTGCATTGCCTCAATAACTTAAAATGAGTTAGCCTATACAGCAGGATTTCATGTAAACCTCTGGATAGAAAGCCTTGAGTAAACTTCTGTTTATATCTGGATTTCATTAAGAAATGCTCCCTTCACACATGGTGTTATTGCTGGTTGTGAGATGTCTGTCCTTTGAAGCACAACCTGTACTAAGGCTGCTATATCCAACCTTTCACATATGGCTTTGAGAAGTTAACACTTTCATAAAATTAATTCAATTTGACTGTAAAATGTCAAATCCTAAATAAAAAAAATCCTTAAAAATCCTAAAAAAAGAAGAAGAAAAAAAAGTTATTTACTTTGTAAAATTAATACCACTTTAAAAATTCACATTGACTTCAAAAGTGTTAGGGGTCCAAAACACCCTCTAGTGTTGTAGAAAAAGAAAAACAAACCCTAAAAACTATATTTCAGCCACCTGTATATGTTATGAAACCATTGTTTTGAAGAGATCCGCAGCATTTCCTAAAGTCTATCACAAAAACAACATCTATTCTGGCAGGCCCCATAAAACCACAGTGTAACAACATTACAATGAAAAAAACATATATATTCCACAGTGAAACCATTCAGGAGCCAGGATTGGGTTTCCTTCAAAAGATCAAGCAAGTTTTCAATTTCTTAACCAACTACTCTGCACCAAGGGTGAAAGCTACATTGTGTTGTAATAAAAACCATGACAACATTAATAGTAAATACAAACAACTTTTGACTTGCTATGATATTAAAGTCATCTTTTTTTCTGAATGTACAACAACAAAATTGTATTGTATTCTTACAGATGTGCCTGCAACAATTGAAAGGGCCAGAATAAATGCACTGTGAAGTCAATACATAGGCAGTGCATGACATTTGTGACCCTGGAGCACAAAACCAGTCTTAAGTCGCTGGGGTATATTTGTAGCAATAGCCAAAAATACATTGTATGGGTCAAAATTATTGATTTCTTTTTTATGCCAAAAATCATTAGCATATTAAGTAAAGATTATGTTCCATGAAGATATTTTGTAAATTTCCTACTGTAAATATATTAAATATAAAATTTTGAATACAGAAATGATTCAAATAACTGAAATTATACGCTAAAAATAGAACTGAAACCGCCAGCAGGTGGCGGCAAGTCATTGATTTTATCACGGAATCATTCATTCAATTGATTCGTTTGAACGGTTGAATCATTCAGGAATGAAGCAGGTGACTGTCTTTATGAACTGACAGAAATCCGTCGTAGCTACGGAACTTTAATCCCTGTAGTTGTCCTCTCAGCCAAATATTGTCCTATCATAACAAACCATACATCAATAGAAAGCGTATTTATTCAGCTTTCAGATGATGTATAAATCTCAATTTCGAAAAATTGACCCTTATGACTGGTTTTGTGGTCCAGGGTCACATTTGACAAATTAATAAGCATATACTGATTTGTGATGTCCCACAAAAGCACTAGGTATGATCTTTACCCTGCTATAAAAACTAAACATTGTGTAAAGTCGGTTACTCCATATTTATGTGGGCATCCTTCACCAGTTATTACATAAGACACCCATTAAACAACACTGTTTGTCATACGCATACTGCACAGCAGCTGGAGTGTCTACCTGAAACAGAGCTTGTCAAATCATGAGCCTATGAAACAGGACTTACTGAAAAAGGCAAAAGTGTAAATAAAAAAAAATGGGATGGGGGCAACGCTATGCATCTGAGTTTAAAAATGTGAAGAAATGCAAAAACAAGGTCTCTGAGCTCTTAGCATATCAGCTACAGTATTGAGGAAAATATCATCAGAGGTACTAATATGTTGACTGTATAAGCTGGAAAACACATAAGAAAACACCATGAAAACATACTAGTGAGAAAAATGGCTCAAATGATTGTTTCGCATAGTTAAACACGAATTTTCAAATAGACACACACATACATGCACATGCACGCCCATTCACTCCATACACAGATCACACAGCAATTATCTTGGTTAACCTGCCAGCATAAACTTGTCCTTGATATGCAACATTGGAAATGTAGACTCAATACATATTGGTAGTACAAAACCTACAGGTAAAAATAGCGAAAGATCAGTGCAGCTTTGCATAGTACCTTCACATTAAAGCAAAACGTCAGATTTGATGAAGAGAGAAACACTGATGAATTCAGTGCCGAGTAGAATGTGAAGATCTCTGAGCTACAAAGCAACATGAAGGTGTTTGTACACACAGGATAGGAAACTACAACCAAACTATCATCCATGATCATTCAAAAAAAGGCTACTTCACATCTATGTTAGAGGATAGGAAAAAAGCTTTGTCTGTAATTACAAAAAAGGGATTCGAAAAGGAAAAAGGGTCAAATCACCAAACAAAAGTTGACAAAACATTCAAATAATTGTGTACTTGTACACAAAGAGACTGCATTATCAATTAACAAACAGGCTTGAATGTCAAAAAAAAAAAAAAAAAGAAAATGAAAATGAAAGGGAAATAGTAGCATTCTCTTTTTTTTAACTCCATGGTGGGAATTGGCAGCTGCACACTTCCAGTGGAATGCCATGTGGTGCTGGTCCTCTCCGTATCTTACATACTGCCTAATGTTTTATGTTTCTGTAAAACACAAAATTATCCCCATTAAAAGACACTTAACCAGGTGTATGATGTTTTGTTTTCAGTTGAAGCAGATAAGATATAAGGCAGAGACAGTCCACTCGTACATATGTGAATGCTTGTTTACTCTTGTGCATTAACTGGATTAGACTGATTTTTTTCCCCATACATTTGAGCTTAAGAAGCACAATTTATGGTACCACATTGTTGTCCGATTTTGGTGAGGTTATGAATATGGCTGCTGAGACAACAAATTTGCCTTAAAAGGACATTCCTTGAACGCAGTTATACATACTTAAAGATTTACATGCATACAGAAAATAAAAAGACATATGGAAATATAACCAACAAATTATTAATAAAAGATAGAAAAAATATAAGAAAATAAAGCAGTAAAGATAAAAAATATCTATAGATACATAGAAATAATATAATGCAAATTCAAGTAAAGAGAGGAGAATTAAAATGCATTAGAAAAACATCCTTAATGAGATGAAAATTTCAATCATGATGAAAATGAATATCGATGGAAAAATGTTGATTACCTGTGGGCTCTACTTCAATTTGTTCTTCTGTTTGGTTAATTTCCTCTGTTAAATGAATAAACAAGCAAGGAGGAAATATAATTACACGTTAATATAGATTTACAAAACAGACATTAAGCATAGAATGTATGACTCAACACAACTTTCTGTACAGATTAGGAAATCTTCCCATTCTTTATCTTTTATATAACCATAAAATTGAATTACCAACCTGCTTCGTCCTCCTCAGGCTGCTCTTCTTCAGCAGCTGCATCCTCTGTAACAAGACAAGAGACATTTCACAACAAAGCAAATATAACTTCCTGTTATCTCGGTGTAGTATCTGATATTAACAGATAATGTTAGCATCCGCATTATTGTACTTACTGTACCATTTTAACATAAAAGACATTTTGGGTATTATTTCTTGCTGCTGTATAATAACCACCTGAGTGAACTTGCGAAAACAAGAAAACTTACCCTCTTCTTCCATATCCTCTGCCTCAAGCTCTGTTTCCTCCGATATGGAGTCTTGTACTTCCTCATCTTCCTCATCTGTTTCTTCTATTATAACTTCCTCTTCTGTTACAGTTTCTTCTGCAGAGACTGACTCCTCAACTGTCTCTTCAGGTGTTTCTACTTCTTCCACTGGTTCTGTTGTTTCAGGTTCCTCTACTGCTTCTTCTACCGGTTCAAGCTCCTCAACAGCTTCTTCTACTGGTTCAAGCTCCTCAACAGCTTCTTCTACTGGTTCAAGCTCCTCAACAGCTTCTTCTACTGGTTCAAGCTCCTCAACAGCTTCTTCTACTGGTTCAAGCTCCTCAACAGCTTCTTCTACTGGTTCAAGCTCCTCAACAGCTTCTTCTACTGGTTCAAGCTCCTCAACAGCTTCTTCTACTGGTACAACCTCCTCCACAGCTTCTTCTACTGGTGCAGCTTCCTCTACCGTTTCTTCCACTGGTGCATCCTCTTCTACTACTTCTTCTATTGCCTCTTCCACTGGTGAATCTTTTTGCACTAGTACAGCCTCTTCCTCCAACAATTCCTCAACTGCTTCTTCCACCGATGCAACCACTTCATCTACTTCTTCTACTGCCTCTTCCAGTGGTGCATCTTCTACTGCTGCAGCCTCCTCTACTGCTTCTTCCACTGATGCAGCCTCCTCTACTGCTTCTTCCACTGGAGCAGCTTCCTCAACCGGTTCTTCAACTGGTATGACCTCTTCCTCTTTTGCAGGCTCTTCCACTGCCTCATCAAAAGCCTCTTCCTCAATTGGAACAGTCTCTGTAACCTCAGACTCTTCCTCCACAACTTCTGGTTCTTCCTCAGGAACTTCTTGCTCCTCTTCAACCTCTGGTTCCTCCTCAGCTACTTCATCTTCTGCGGAAGTGGGCTCTTCGTCTACTGCCAGAGGTTCTTTTTCCACAGGAACAGGCTCCTCTTCCACAGTCTCTGGTTCTGCAAGGGAAAAAAATAATTATAGTAAATCTATTAAACAGACTGTACTATAATCTTATTGGTAGGTGCCAAAATATTTCTTTGATGAACGTGTAAGGGGTGGGGGATGTGTAGAACTTTGTGAATGCACCAATTCAGTGGTTAGGTCTAGTTATACTGCATTCTTTTGTAGTATTTACACAACATGTATACATCACAATGTGTACGAGTAAACAAATAGCAACAATTGCATATTGTCATTTCAAAGGACATCATAAAAGCCGTACCTGGTGGTGGCTGAGCTGCTTCTTTAACTTTAGTGGCTTGGATTACTTCCTCCACGATAGATTCAGGAGCTAAATAAGAAAAAACTAATACACTTAGTTTGAAGGAAAACCGTCTGTTTTTCTGAATTGAAAGCCTTTGTTTATCTGTCCTAAAACACACTTGTACAATAATGCTTTACTAAGATTTGACGGTATAAGTTCAATTATACAAGTCTGCTCTAACAGGTCAATGCGATTAATCTCATGTCATGTTATGCAAGAACTTTTGCAGTATGTGGAAAGACTCGTTCATCACTGGCAGGCATTTCAGTTACAAAAGTGTCTATCAGAATAATTTTAAGTGGGAATATCAAAATAATTTCTACATAGTTCATAGATGGTACATATATACACGGAGAACACCGTCCTTATGAACACCGTTAATGTTTAATGATCCATTAGATAAGACCAACTCCCTTACTTACTAAAAAGATAGGTTTCTTGACAAATAATTTTAAAAATATATATTTTAGGGTCAGGAAATTTCATCTTGTAATAATGGCAGCAGCTTGTAAATTTACATTTACTTTCCTAACTTGCATATCACATTAAATGTCTATTTGTGTTATAAAATCCTGCATCTTATTTTATTGACGTACAAAGATTTCTATGCATCAATAAATTCTCACTGCACCCTTATTTATTGCATAAAACCGTGTATGATTCTACTTTACCTTCTTCCACAGGTTCAGCAAGGGTTCTCTCAACTGATTCACTGGTCTCAGTAGTGGATTTATCTTTCAGCCCTGAGGATTTTACATGTGGATGTGCATACATGAGGCAAGTGTAGAATACAATCACATGAAACAAGTGAACCTCTGTGAAGTGCATTAAATAGCCTTTACACTTTCAAAAAAGGATTTCCATAACAACCTTATGACGTTTGGTTTACTTTTGCACTAGATCTTTTTCTGTCCTTTGAGGTTAAGAAGCACCATTTATGGTACCATATTGTTGTCAGATTTTAGTTTGGTTATGAATATGGCTACTGAGAGAACTAACTTGCTTTAAAAGGACTTTCTTGAACACGCAATTTTAGCATCTTTACGTACATATTTATATGTAAAGATTTACATACAGAAAATAAAAAGACATGGAAATATAACCAAATCATTAATAAAAGATATAAGACAATAAAGCAGTAATGCTAAAAATATCTATAGATACATAGATAGATAGAAACAATACAATGCAAAACTAAGTAAAGAGAGGAGAAGTGAACTGCATGAGAAAAACATCCTTAACGAGATAAAAATTTCAACCATGATGAAAATGAATCTCAATGGACAAAATTTGATTACCTGTGGGCTCTACTTCAATTTGTTCTTCTGTTTGGTTAATTTCCTCTGTTAAATGAATAAACAAATTTACAAGTTAATTAAGACAAAGATAACAGACATTGAGCCAAAACAGACATTGAGCATAGAATGTATGACTCAACACTGTACAGATCAGGAAATCATCCCATTCTTTATATCTTTTATATAACCATAAAATTTAATTACCAACCTGCTACGTCCTCCTCGGGCTGCTCTTCCTCAGCAGCTGCATCCTCTGTAACAAGACAGACATTTCACAACAAAGCAAGCATAACTTCCGCTGTTATCTGTGTAGTATCTGATATTATCAGATAATGTTGGCATCCACATTATTGTACTTACGCTACTATTTTAACAAATAAGACATTTTGGGTATTATTTCTTACTGTTATATAATAACCATCTGAGTGAACTGAAAAGATAAGAAAAAAAAAAACGTACCCTCCTCTTCTTCCATATTCTCTGCCTCAAGCTCGGTTTCCTCCGATGTGGAGTCTTGTTCTTCCTCATCTTCCTGAAATGGCTCATCTGTTTCCTCTATAACGTCCTCTTCTGTTACAGTTTCTTCTACAGAGACTGATTCCTCAACTGTCTCTTCGGGTGTTTCTACATCTTCCACTGGTTCTGTTGCTTCAGGTTCCTCCACGTGTTCAGGTTCCTCTACTTCTTCTTCTACTGGTACAAGCTCCTCAACAGCTTCTTCTACTGGTACAAGCTCCTCTACTGGTACAAGCTCCTCTACTGCTTCTACCGGTACAACCTCTTCCACAGCTTCTTCTACTGGTTCAAGCTCCTCAACTGCTTCTTCTACTGGTACAACCTCCTCCACAGCTGCTTCTACTGGTGCAGCTTCCTCTACTGTTTCTTCCACTGGTGCATCCTCTTCTACTACTTCTTCCATTGTCTCTTCCACTGATGCTGCCTCTTCCTCCAACACTACCTCTACTGCTTCTTCCACCTGTGCAACCTCTTCTTCTACTACCTCTTCCAGTGGTACATCTTCTACTACTTCTTCTACTGATGCAGCCTCTTCCTCCAACACTTCCTCAACCGCTTCTTCCACTGGTGCAGCCTCCTCTACTGCTTCTTCCACTTGAGCAGCTTCCTCAATCGGTTCTTCAACTGGTATGACCTCTTCCTCTTTTGCAGGCTCTTCCACTGCCTCCTCAAAAGCCTCTTCCTCAACTGGAACAGTCTCTGTAACCTCAGGCTCTTCCTCCACAACTTCTGGTTCTTCCTCTGGAACTTCTTGCCCCTCTTCAACCTCTGGTTCCTCCTCAGCTACTTCATCTTCTGCAGCAGTGGGCTCTTCGTCTACTTCCAGAGGTTCTTCTTCCACAGGAACAGGCTCCTCTTCCACAGCCTCTGGTTCTGCAAGGGAAAAAACTATTATAGTAAATATATTAAATAGATTGTACTATGCTCTTATTGGTAGGTGCCAATATATGTGATGTGTAGAACTTTGTGAATGCGCCAATTCAGCGGTTAGGTCGCGTTATACTGGATCCTTTTGTAGTATATACACATACATGTATACAGCTACACAACACAATATGTGAGAGTAAACAAATAGCAACAATTGCACATTGTAATTTCAAAGGACATAATAAAAGCCATACCCGGTGGTGGCTGAGCTGCTTCTTCAACTTTAGTGGCCTGGATTTCTTCCTCCACGATAGTTTCAGGAGCTGATTAAGAAACAAAACTAATTAACTGAGCTTGAAGGAAAACAGTCTGTTTTTCTGGATTGAAAGCCTTTATTTATCTGTCCTAAAACACACTTGTAAAAAAATGCTTTAAGATTTGAAGTTCAATTATACAAGTCTTCTGTAACAGGTCAATGCGATTACTCTCATGTCATGTTATGCAAGAACTTTTGTGGTATGTGGTAAGACTTGTTCATCACTGGCAGGCATTTCAGTTATAAAAGTGTCCATCAGAATCATTTCTACATAGTACACAGGTGGTACATATATACACGCAGAACACCGTCCTTATGAACACTGTTAATATTTAATGATCCACTAGATAAGGCCAACTCCCCTGCAATCAAACAAATGTTTAATGCTTATATTAATCTTATTTTTTGCATATACTTTTAAAACGTACTAATAGGTTTGATGACAAATAATAAAATTATATATATATATATATATATATATACACACACACACACAAATTTAATTTT